GAGAAACCTCCATTCCTTTTATTTAACTTTAGCAAGTAGAAACATTAATGGCACTTTTTTCTTTTCTATACTGTGTCCCTTCAGAGGATGTTGATTTTTTATTCAAGGTCATTGTTGTCCTAAATATGGATGATTATATCATCAGCATAACCCCACAGCCTGCATTCACCGTATATTGTTCTCAGAAGGGGAAGTAGGAATGTCATTTTCTTTTTCTATGTACCGTGTTTCTTCAGGACTTGTGCAATCATGGCTCTCCACAACTTCCTGTCATTGTAACTCTTTGTAATTTTGCTCTGTCTCCTAATCCCTGTTTCGCTAACCTACTCATTTGGTAGATTATTTGCTACTTTCCTCTGCCTCTCTTGCCTTCAATATATCCTATGAGTTTAAATTTTCTAAACCTTCTTTCCTCATTAAGTGCCTCAGAAATTTCATTTGTCTTTTTCTGATACTAATTATAAATGATCTTTTTGTTTCCATAAAAACTCATACACTGTCTGATTCACATTCCTCCCTAGTCTTTTGAATATTAATAAAAGTTTATCTCTTGTTTCCTGTTTAGGGTGAGGTTTCCAGTTGCTTCTAAAGTCTTTTCATTCTCTTTCATCTCAGTAGCCACTTGCATCTTAGTGGCCTTATTGCCTTGCCTGGGGTGAATTGATTAAAAAAATAAAAAATTGTTAAAGATGATGTACTTATTTTTCCATCTACCAAAGTAAGGTGGTAATGTATAAAATTGGTATCAAGTAAGGTACTAAATTTTACTAAGTAGAATAATAAATGGTGATATTAGCAATAACCATGAAAATTTCATTCTTCCTATTTGAATTTTCTGATTGCTATATTCCATGCTAGTAGGAATATATACTTGACAAACACAGTGGATAAAATAAGTAAAGGTTTATTATAAAAAAACAGTACAATAAGAATAAAGGTAAGTTATGGACAAGGTCATTGCAAGTCAATCCAGTAGTGAGTGCTTCTATTGGAAGATCGGTAGTTCTCGCATATATCTGAGTTGTATTCAACAGATCCCAGCTAGTCTCTGTAGTCTCTGTAGTCTGTTGACTTACAGATACTTATAGGTAGTTACTACCTATAGTGTAGTCACTCATGGGGGTGACAGGTTATTCCATTACATTACTGATTAGAAAACAGAAACATTACTAAGGAGCAGGAACAAAAGAAGAGTTATCAGGAGGAGAGTAGATAGCGATAGACATTGTATTAAAATTTTTGAAGATTACAGTTGGCATGAAACTCTTTAGGTCAAGTCACTGGATTATTTCAACCAATACTTTTAAACACTGCCCCAGTGCATAAAAGCATCAGTTGAGTAGTGAATTCAATGCCTGGTTGTAACTTTAATACCTGGTATTGAACTCACAAATCAACCAATGCTTTTTATCCATGTCCCAGTGGATAAAAGCATTGGTTAAAGTAATCCAGTAACTTGACCCAAAGAGTTCAATACCTCGCCACAGCAGAGGCGAACAAAAACCTGGAGAGTTACTAAAGGGGAATAACTGAAACTGAGATATCCAGAAAAGGCATGGCATGTGGAACTAGAATAATCTACCCCAGTGGACTGAATAAAGAGTTTGGTTTGAAATTTCAATGTATATCACCTGAAGAAGGCCAGAGCGTACACTGGCTGAAATGTTGTGAATATGACATAAAGATGGGAACAACAGACAAAACTGTAAAATGATGAGATTTCCAGTTGCTTCTAAAGTCTTTTCATTCTCTTTCACTCCCAGTAGCCACTTGCGTCTTAAATAGTTGTAAATAGTTTAAACGATTTGTCTCATATTTTTAGGTAAACAGATTTCAGCCAAATGAGAAACTCAACTAAAATACTTCTTATACCAAACTGACTTAAGTAAACAGCAGACCTTACCTTAGAATCATGATTCATTGTTACATCTGGAAACAAGGTTTACTATGAATGTGTAATGACTTGAGGTGCATTAATATACACAATATATTATCTACCTAAGCTGAAAGGAAATCTTTTTCAGCTTAGGCAGATTGCATTTTCTCTTGCCAGAATCTGTCTTAAATATTTATAAGTCTACCATTCATTCTTGCTTTGAATATTGCTGCCACATATGGTCTGGTGAACCTGCTATATATTTCTGCATTGTCATTGGTCTAGACCTGACACCTTGCCTTCAGTAATCTTCCCACCATCATAATGTAGCTTCCCTGTGCCTTTTCTATAAATACTTTCATGGTAATTGATCTGATAAACTTTCCTCTATGGTATCTAGATTTTATGAATTTAAAAGGAGTACAAGATTGGTGGCAAGGTCTCATCATTTTACAGTTGAAATGGCTAGATGTTCTATTTGTGTGAAAACAAATGCAACAGACTTGGCCAGGATTTAAACTGTTTATTTTCTGTACTGATAACAATTACACTATCAATGTATCCATCTATAATTATGATAATTAAAAGTTTGTCTTAATTCCCTTGTTAAGCAGTAGCAATGTAAATTGTTCAACCTGAGTGGCAAAACTTCTAAAGGAGTAAAAGAATAGTTTACTATAAGAATATATTTCAAAAGGAATAAACCAACAAATTTTATTGGTGAGAAATAACATCAGTTACAAAATATATGAATGTTTATAACAGAATTTTTTTTAATATTAACTGAAAGAGTTGAAATAGCATTTTTGCGGATAAATATATATTTTTTTTGTTTACATTTTACTTCAACAACACTAGCAGCAGCAAGCAAAGCAGTGTCAGAAATAAACTAAGAGAACATTATGTCTTTTTTATTACAATTTTAAGAATATATAGACTTATAAAAAAACAACAAGAAAACAGGAATAGGTCTTGTTCATAAGTAGGAGAGCTCTTGTATCATATTCTTGGTCATTTAGTTGAAACTGAGGTACTACTTAAATAGACTGTTTTTTTTTTTCTTTCTATGCAGATATTAATGATGCAAGCAGTTTCAAACTTGACATTTGTTAACAAGCTATGAATTTCCAATAACTCTTCATCAGTCAGGGATCAATTTTAAATTGGATCAATATTATAAATGGGACCTTCCTCCCTCTGTTTCTAAAATGATAAAAAAAATTTTCATTTTTAAGAACTTTATAACTAAAAATGAAAGTAAGTTACTTTATTATGATTTTTTTACTTCTTGAAATGTAATGTAACTGAACGGAATACAGTCAATGTCATTTTGAAAGATGAAACAATTGTAATGAAATTCACTTGAAACTTTTAATAATCACAAATTAAAGGAATTTGCTGAAGTTGAGGGGATGAAAATTTGGACTTGTAAAAATATCCAACTCAGCCACAAAGAAAAAGGAAATGAAAAGAAAAAAAAGCAGATAAAATGTGAATCCAAAATTTTTATATTATAGAAATTGATTAGAAGTTTTAAATCCAGTTTCTTCATATGAAGACAGTTTTCATATGATAAGAAATAAACTAGATACAGAGAGATTTCTTAATGACTTCTCTTAATATTTTCATTTTTTATTCAGACTATTACTCAGACTACTTAATACAATGACTTATTTATACAGTTCATGTAGTAAACACATGAATATGCCTGAGTATTTAACAGAAAAATGCTTGGCATTAGGAAGATTTCTTAATAACTTCTCTTATTATTTCAATTTTTTTATTAGGACCATTACTCAGACAAACTATTTGATGTCTTATTTATACATTGCCTGTGGATGTAGTATTAAACAAATGAATATGTATGAATATTTAACAGAAAAATGCTTCACTCTAGTTGAATGTGGGTTAATTGAAGGGTATAAAATTTTTAATAACTGTACATGCTGAAACTTTGCAGATTAATAATTTTCTATATGTTTTAAATGCTGCGAAAATTTGATCTTTTTCCATAAATTATATGTAAGTTAAATTTTATTTTAAGCTTGTATCTGCTCAGTAGGGATATCATATCTTATTAATAATTTTCAATAAAAAGAGGATTTTATTTTATCTGAAACTGATGAATTAATAGAATATTTTCTAATAATGTGTCCACTATAATTTGAATTTAATTTGTTCATTTCCAAATCTTAATTTGCATAGTTTTTGAAAATTTGTTCTTCACAAAGACTACATATTAAAATACTGTTTAAAGGTTTTTTAAAAATCATTGTGAATAACTGAGTTCAAGTTAGGAAGAAAATGAAAGGAAAATATCACACTATATGCTGATTATCACTGATAAAAATCAGGACATCTAATAAGAATACAAATGGCTGTTGTGCTAAATTCTGCTTCTTTTTCATTACCCAAAATGCAACACTAATAATATTATATGAATAGTTTCAGGCTGAAATCCAATCAAATCACAGCAGAAGATTAAAAATGGCTACAAAGAAAGAATTCAGGTGAATGGATTTTTAATATTTGTTTTTCATGTTAATGTACCCACTCAATAATAATACAATTGATTGACTTTTTATGGCTTATCAAACTTTTGCAGTTTATTTAAAGCCAGAAATTATTTCAAGAGGTAAGAATTTTTTGGAAATAATAATGACTTAGTGATATAAGTTCTACTAATTAACCTATAGCTGCGGGGAGAGAAGAGATGGATTCATACCTTTCCAAAAGGTATTTGCAAAAATCTGAAAGAAAGAAAAAAGGAAGGAAGGAAGAAAGAAAGGAAAATGAAAGAAAAAAGGAAGGAAAGAAAAAGGATAGAAAGTAAAACGAAAAAAAGGAGAAAGAATGGAAGGACAAGAAGCAAGATTATTTGATTTTTTACTGCTTATCAACCTTTTGCGGGCTACCCAAAGACAGAAAAAAAAAACAAAACTAGATTGTAAACATTTTTTGAAATAATAATGATTTACTGATTAACCCAGAGAAGAAGTGGATTAATACCCCTTCCCCAAGGGGATTTATGCATGTAAATATAATAAACCTGACTGGAATTGGAATTTGTCTCTCCAATTACCAATTTTGAGCTGTTATCCATAACACCACCCATACATCCAAGCTTACAGCATATGGTATTCCCAAGCGGTCACCCATATAGGTACTGACCAGGCTTGATATTGCTTAACTTCTGTGATTGCATTAGAACCTGTGTTTCAACATGTTATGGCAATAATAATATGAGGATAAATCAAAAAGTAAAGGTAATTTCTATGCAATACTTTTATTTGCATTGATGAAGAACAAATGCATATGTCACTTCTTGACATCATCCTTCTGAATGATGATGCACTTCAGTTATCGTTCAATGAGCTTCTTCATCTATTCTGAAAAGAAGCTTTACAATTTGCCACAAAGTCACATCTGTGCTGCTTGCTTACTTAGGTGCCCAACATGCACAAACTTTACAGTACCCCAAGTCTTCATGCTCTTCTCACTTGCAGAGCCCTCTTCCAGCTTCTTGCTTTCCGGTGTCAACTTTGATCTTCAAAATAAGATTAATACAATGTTAATTGTTATCTTCAGTTTTCTTAATTCCTGTTCTTTTACTGTTCTCTATCCTTAATAATGTTATTTTTTTTTCTCTCATATTCTCTTATATTCTGCAACCCCTTGTATCTTAGAGGCCTTTTTTTTTACTTTCCTTGGCATGAAATAAGAAAAAAAATACAAAACCTTTTGCTTGTGCAAATCAATAATTGATGCCCACAATTGCCACCACTCATATTAATGTGATTCATTGGTCTTCCCTGACCAAGGTATCCACCTTCTGGATATGTTCTTTTGTGTGCAATGTTGATGGATAACCAGATCAGTGTCCGTCTATTACACTTGTTCTACCCCACTTTAAAGTGTTCTACCCACTCATACAACTTTCGTTGATTCATAGTGTGTACTCTATACCGTGTCAAAATCTGGTGATGGATTTCCACAGGTTTGACTTCCTCTGTCCCAAAAAAAGAAAGCACACTAAAGCAAATTGTCTTTAATGATACAAGCACTGAATGGAGCATCCATATATCTAACCTTATTGCTCCTTGCCACATGAATGAATGACGGAATTCTGCATGTGGCTAGCTACATGTCATGACATGTGGCTAGCTACATGTCATGACATGTGCATGCATGATGTTGCACGAGTGTCTCCCTGTTATTTTTACCATATAATATCAAAATTGCCTTTATTTCTGATTTACTCTTGTACAAGGACAAGATGTAACAAAATAAGATTGTAATGGCATTACGTTACTAGTTTCTTACAGAAGTCAGCAGTTTGTAGTGCCATTGACTCATATGTTGATAAGAGATATTTTCTTGTTTTAGCTGGAGATGTATATTTATGTGATAGGTTGGTGTTTATGATGAAGTGGAAAAATTTGTCTGACATGATTCATCCTTTAGTACTTCATCAGACTAAAGTGATGCTAGGATGTGATTACATATGCGCATGAAGGAGAGGAGACTGAAATTTTAAATTTTAAATTAAAAAAAAAAATTAAATGCATTTGGGTACATGGTTTAGTTGATTTCATTTAGTCTTTTTTTCTTTGTTTTTATCGCTTTTGTTATTAAATATCATGGCATCTATGTAAACATCACTTTAGTCCAATGAAGTCTTAAAGATTTTTTTACACTTTGATATAGATTTTCCTAAAATTGTTATATATAAATTTTATTTATTGTTTTCCCATAGGTTGTTGTGGAAATATTGTGATTTTTTTTAATCATTTCACCCCATGCAAGGCAATAAAGCCACTAAAACACAAGGGGTTACTGAGTGTGAAAGAATAAGTGAGAACAATAGAAGACAGGAAGACAACAGGTAACAAATGATACTGACATTGACTACATGAGTTTTTTGGAAAGGAGAGATTGCAGTGTATTTTATGCAATTTGGTATTGTGGCGGGTTGTATTTGATTCAAATACAATGCCACTAACACAGGTTGAATGTCAGTGGACCACAATAAACAAAATGAAAACTTGATTAGAAAATGAATGGCCAATGTTTATTGATGTATGTAGGTACAAGATGCAGAGATATAGAGAATGGTCGACCCAAAGTCAGCATGGTGCTGATTGAGGGTGGTCAAATCTCCCTTTCATTGGGACAGCTACTAAACATGTCCAAACTCAATGGTTGGGAAGAGAGAAGAGACTAATCATCTCCTTTCCAGTAGTGGTATCATAAAATTCACACTTGACCAGAAACCCTTTTTGTTTTACTTTTATATTATGGGAAAACAAAATTCTTTATTTTTTTTATTATTTTAATTTATTAGTTTATTTTCATTCTCCCACAGTATACAGTTTGGTTTTGACTAATAAGTCCCCTCTCCTGGAATGGAAACAGGATACATCGTGTCATTATGGCATCCTGTGGTTGAAAAGAGAGAGAAGAGGGAGAGATTTTGTGCCCCCCTTTTTTTTTATATACTGCTTTATACAAAGCAGGCATTAACATGTTAACTGCCAGAGGTTAATTATGAAATCTAACTTGAAACACCAACTTCATAATAGCCAACTTAAGCAATAAAAATATTTTATGAGTTGACTTATAGCTTCAACTGAAGTCTTAACATTGTTTTCACATTTAAAGTATCCCTGTGAATACACTCATTGGTGCCCACGGATGAAAATGCATCAGGAAATGCCAGGAACAAGATAGCTCATAGTTTGCTTCATAATAAAAACTGCCAACTATGAGTTATCTTGATGGTTGGCAGCCAATGTGTGAAGAGAAATGAGGTTCTAGATAAGAGCAAAATAATATTATTAACGTGAAAAATTAGTAGACTACGTCTGCCCTAAGATATTTTAAACTCAGTTAACTACTAAAAAAAATATTACCCTTCAATTTATGCTGATAAAAAATTAAACCCTGATTTTGACAATTCCATTCTGGAATTCAAGTTCTATCCTTGGATATAATTCCATCCTAGGTATGATGATAAACTACGTCCAACAGCAAGGCCTCTGATCAGAAGGTTTTGAGGAGCATGGAAACACCTCTTAATTGCTGGTGTTCCTAGGTCCACCCTGATCTGGAGTGGTAGCACCTGTATGGGTCCCAGCTATGGGCAAATACTTAACCCGCAAATTAGCGTCAAAGCACTATGAAAGTGTAAAAATAGGTTTTAATAGCAGAAATACTTTTTAAAAAAAGTTATTACCAGTAATAAGTTTTTGAAGAAAAAAATTATTACCAGTAATGCATTTTTGAAAAAAATATACGTAAATGTTTGGCAATCATTGATTGGGCAGTCTGTGCCACCTTTGGTTGAAATTTATAAAATCTTTCTCCTAAAACAATTTTTCAGGAAAATAGGTTTTTCAAATCACTCTTTCCAGTATTGGTGGTGATTTATTTCCTTGACTTTTGTTTGGGCTCATGTAGAAAATCAGCATCTTGATTATATCAGTATTCGCTTTTTGAGTTATATGTGCTATCCATTTTAGTTGTTGCTGCTGTTGAAAGACCTCAATTGATGTGGTTTCTGTTTTTTCGTACGGTTCTTTGTGATTCTGTAATGCTGGTTCACGAGGTTCAAAGAAGGATGGTCTTTGTCAAGAACCTACAGATTTCAATCACTCAAAGCCATTTTTAACCATTGTTCCTAGAAAGCAACTGTATACAGCTAACAGTTTAGATATTTATGAATAAGTTTGGTGCTGTGACATCCATATGAAATTTTTGACCTGATGAGACTAAGAATAGGCCTCTAGTTTTTAGGTTAATGTTTTGGTTTTGCAACAGCTTCAGATGTTGGTCAAAACTACCTCTACTACAGCCTATTCTATGTTCAGTTTACCTACTCTGGGTTACCCCACTTGACGTTACTAAAAACAAACAGTAGGTTATGCTTCTTAAGCCTATGAATAGACAATGATATGCTCACCTATTCTCTTTTCTATTTTTCTTTTAGACAATTAGTCACATGTGGTAAAAATGTGTCCCCCACTGGGGCACATTCACTTCACTTTCAAATATTTTTCCCTCAGACTTCTCCCATACAAACTTCATACACACAAACACATTCTCTAGTTTAAATGTTTTCTTCTTTATTGTCTGTGTATAATTTGCTTAATACATATACTTTTGTTTGTTTTATATATTGTTTTGCATTACTTATTTATTACTCAGGCTCACATTTTTAGTCCTCAATAATTGTTATGGGAAAAATATACCAGGAGATATGTGTTTTCTACTTAAACACAGCCAGCATATCCACAACACAACTTATACTAAATTTGTTATAAAGGTTATTCAAGGTATTTGAAGTGTTTAGTATTTACTAATATCATATCTTGAATTTGATGAAAGTTTAAGGGTGCATGTCATCACTGCTTTCATTCCAATTCCAGATCATAGTTTCTGTTTTGGAAAGATCATAGTTTCTGTTTTGGAAAGATCATAGTTTCTGTTTTGGAAAGGTGGAACACTTAGCAGAATATGTTGATTTTTTATTCAAGATCATTCTTGTCTCAAATATGAATACCTATATCATCAGCATATAGACCAACAGCCTGAATCCACTGTACATTGGCCTCAGGAGGGGAAGTAGGAATGTCCTTTTCTTCTTCTATGTGCTGTGTTTTTCAGGACTTTTGCAATCATGGCTCTCCAAAACTTTCTGCCCTTTTTAGTTCTTGGTAAGGTTTTTCATTTTGCTATGTCTCCTAATCCTTGTTCTGGCAACCATTTATACAAGCTTGTTATTTGCTGCTTTCCTCTGTTGCTCTTTCCTTTAATATGTCCTTTGAGTGTCAAATTTCCCAGCCCTCTTTTCTCATTATGTGCTCTAGAAATTTCAACTGTCGCTTTCTGATACTAAGTGTCCTTTTTGTTTCCATAAAAACTGATAAATCAAAAGTAAAAAAAAAAAAATTGTTAAAGATGATGTACTTATTTTTGTAGCTACCAAAGTAAGGTGGTAAAGTATAAAATCAGTATAAGGTAAAGTACTAAATTGTGGTAAGTAGAACCCAAATTGGGTGATTAAATAAACCCCATTTTTCTTCTTTTGGTTTTGTGCCAGACTAAGGTGAGTAAATATCTCTTATCAAGTGCCTTTTTTTTTTCAGTCTGTCTTTTTTTATTCAGTCTTCTTAGCCTTAGGCTTAGACTCTTGGATTTGCAACTTATATTCTTATTGAGGTGTGAAATGTA